CCCTAGTATAGGACAGAGCTACACAGAATGTAAATGTGTGACCATGTCACAAAAACAATTAGAAACATAGTAGGAAATGTGTTTCTGTATGAATTTCAGCATACAAAGCAACTCAAATATATCCTCATGATCTGTGGCAGGCTTCTATGAATCTCATTCACGTCTGTGCCACCTCATCTACACTATAATATTTCTCATGTCAGCTAAACTGAATCAGGGGTAAGCAGGCATACCGACACCATGATCCCACTCTTATATATTGTGTTGACATACCCAATGTCCTTGCTAAGAACCAAAGTGCGTTCTAAGGTTTTGTTCCTGGAGTAGCCATGCTAATTGTAGGCTTCCCTAAAGAGTCTTGTGGAAATGGACAGGGATAAAAATACATTACTTTTCCACCTGTCCAATATCAGACAAGATCAAGATTTCAGATGGCAAGACACTTGCAGATATGTTGACTAGAGGCAATGACATTTCCAGATGATATGCCATTTCCAGGTTCAGAAGACACTATACTGCCAGCAGCAACAATTTTTCTGAGTCCATTAGCTGTTGTTCTTGACCTGCCAAATCCTCCAGCTGCTGAAGAAACTCAAGAAGAGACAAAACAGTCTACTGCTCTCTCCAATGAGAGATGACTCTAGTGCGTGAACATCACAAGTACTTAAAAGGACTCTGTTATCTGGGGCATGGAGTGTTATGTACTGAATATTACGTGAGTACATGGACTCCTGCCAATTTTGGCTATTTTGTGTTGGGCTCATCTTCTGTGGCTGCTAGCTATTATTCTTGCATAACATTCATTTAAACCAGCATTGTCCAACTTCTAAAGCCCTTCATACACATGCAAGTGATTTATCTAAATGTGATTTAACTGCATCCAATTTAGCTACATGTCCATGTAGATAAGGGTAATACACATTCATTTTGTCATGTGTATTATGTCCTGTGTAGCACCACTGAATGGTGCTACATTCACACCATGATTTTTTTTACAGAGTAGATTAATATACTTTGAATTCTAATCCTTTGGGTGGTGCTGTTCTAGACAGAAAATATATCTATTTAATTTAAATTTAGCTTTAATTACTTAGCTTTAATTTAAACACTCTGAAAGCTTAAATATTTAACCTTAAATAAATAAATGAATATTAAAAGCTTAGATATTTAAGATTTAAATAGCTTTAATTGCTAGCTTTCATTTAGCTATAGAAAAATAAATGTATTTGCTTGCTATTCTGAGCCTGGCTTTTTCTTTGGGGGTGGGGGGGTGGCCATCTCATCATTGTTTGTGGTCAAGGACTACTTGACTTCACAGTGGTAGCAGTTACCAAGTTGACTGCTCACTAAGTGCTTCTTCCCTCTCTCACACAGTCCCAGGGAAGCCCGGATGTTATTCTTGTTTAGCTTTCAACCACATGGTCGAATACCTTGGGCAGTGACTTCTCTTGCTTCCAACTATCCCCCTCCACTAACAGGCTTCACCCACCACTGTATCAATTTAACTTGAAAGAAGAAAGCCAGTGTTAGCCAGCTGCACAACTGTATAAATTAAAGATGCACTCAGTATGTGCTTACATAGCTCCATGCATTGCCTCACAGTGCTGGTGATTAGCATCCTCAAACCCAATTGCAGATCAGCCTGCCACTGTGCTAGGCATTAGACATTCAGAGAACAGACCATTTAGGGTTACCATATGTCTGAGTTTTCCTGGACATGTCCTCTTTTTCGATCCTCCGATCTCAGGCCAGGCAGTTTTTTTTTTTAAATACCTGGACATTTACATCAAATGGCCAGGATTTGGGTCAGCTCAGCTTTAAAGTTTTTCTCAGCACTTCCTGGCTTGCCCTAGCAAGGAGCTGCTTGGGGCTGGGAACTGGGGGATTGGAGGCAGGGCACACACACATGGTTGGCATGTAGCCAGGCAGGAGGTGAGAGCAGCCCAGCAGATGGATATAGGTAAGTCTGTGAGGGGTGAGGGTTATGTGTGCATGTGTATATAGGGGAGGTGGGTCTGGAGCTGCAGCAGGGAAGGGGAGGAGCATGCTCTGGATGCATGCCTCTCCAGCAGGAAAAAGGGGAAGGAAGCAGCGGGGTACTTCAGAGGCAGCAGGGAGCTGCGTGGCTGGCCCAGTGGCACCAGGGCCAGTGCTCACAGGTGCAGGGCTGCGGGGAGCAGGGGGCTGCAATTTGAGAGTGAGAGGCACTGGCAGGGATGGTGTAGGGGGCCCTGTGGATTGGGAGTGAGAGGCACCAGCATGGCCCAGGAAGGCAGGGTATTGCAGTTTGGGAGTGAGGATCATGGCCTACAGAAGGGCAGAGGATAGGACTGAGTTAGGCCTCCCAAGACAGTGAGCCTTGTCTCCTGTGTTCACAGATGGCCATTTGCGGGAAGACCCCTAGATATCATCTTCTCCAACCTATTACATGACAGTCACAAAACACCCAACACCCCAAACATCCTCCAACAAACATATCACAGACAGCAGGGTGACACATTGGAATAAAAAATTATTAGAAAAACAGATGCTTAGAGGATCCCAGGGAAAGGACCAGGCCTCAGTGCTCCAGCACATCTACATTTATGACTAACACACACAAATAAACTCCAGAGCTTACTGCTCCAGAGATTTTTCATGCTCAGCAGCCCACATGTAGATTCTGCCTTGGCTGGCTGTGGCACAGATTTTCTTAGTGTGGGGCTAGCTGTTAGGCAGCCCCTGTGCTGAGGCACCCTGTGCCCCAGCCAGCTGGGGCAGCATCCAGATGTGTGCTGCTGCACATGAAAAAACTCTGCTGCAGGGTAGTACAGGCAGTCCTCAATTTACAACGTTTCAAGTTACAATGTTTCACACTTACAACGTTTATAAATTGACACCATTTCAACTTTATGACATCAGTTTCGACTTACAACGCTTGATCCAATGCAACGCCATGCTAGCAAACAAGTTCGCTGAGTCACTCATCTCCCTGGAGAACATCTGTCCAAACTTCCTTGGACACTTTCTTTAAGAAAGCAGACAAGACTCCAGGAAAACCTGTAGCCAAGACTCCCGATAAGACTCCAGCCCAGAACCCTTCAAAAAGTTCAACAAAGAGACTTTCAAAAAGTGCAGCAAAGTCACCTCAAAGAAGTCCTTCCAAATCAATATGATTGCTATTTACAATATAAATACATTAAAGTAGCTATATTACTCATCTATAATTGATCCAGTACAAAATTCTGGGGTATTTTTGATGAAAATAAGGTATCGGGCCTCTGTTTAGGAACCAATTAGGGCTGTACGAGGCTTCGGACAGAGCTTCAGATCCAGAGGAGGATCGGACACTTCAGGGTCTGAAGCAGCACGTCTGTGTTGAAGCGCTGCCTCGTTCGGCTTCCCGAAGCGGTTCGGAGCCGCCTCGGAGCCACCTCTGAGATCCGTTCGCAGGGTATAATGGGGAAACAATAAGATACCTATAACTTTGTTGTTTTTTATCCAATGTGGATGACATTTTCAGGGATGGTAGACTCTGCAGAGAGGATGAAGTCTACCAAGTTTCAAGAAGATCAGTGCAGAGATTTGGGGGAACAGCACCCCAAATTCTTGAAAGCAAAACTCATGTCACTTCTAGGTGTTACAACATAGCAGGGTGATGCAGGGGTGGTAGACAATGCTGAGACTAAAAAGCCTGCCAAGTTTCAAGAAGATCGGTGCAGGGGTTTGGGGGCAACTGCACCTCAAGCTGCAGACAAGCAAAACTGGTGCCATGGGTGCTTGTCTGTCTTGGGATGGGGCGGGGAGGGGAGACACTGCTGCAGGCCTGGCTGCTAAGCTGTTGTGTTACCAGTTACCAATCAATCATGATTCATTCAGGGACCAGGGACTCAGGGACCAGCTCAATACACAGGACCTAGCTACTACATAACGACTTAACGAGCATCAATTAGCACCTACAAGACCAGGCTAAGGAGAGGAAAGAATCAATACAGACAATCAACTGCCCCAAGACAGACACAGTCTTGGCACGAGTTTTGTCTGTCAGCAGCTAGGGGTGCAGGGCCCCACAACCCCCCTGCACTGATCTCCTCCACAGCTGGCAGGTATCATGGCCTCAGCAGGGGCCACCATCCCTGCAGCTGTCACCCTGCTGCCCCTGAACACACTCAGTGTCACCCATGGCACGAGTTTTGCTTGTCCACAGCTTGAGGGGCAGTTCCCCCCAAAGCCCTGCACCAATCTCCTAGAAACTTGGCAGGCGTTGTGGCCTCAGTAAGAGCTACCAGCCCTCCAGTTTTGACCCCCACCCCCTTTGTTGTAACACACAGCCATGACATGAGTTTGGCTTTCAAGAATTTGGGGTGCAGTTCTCCCCAAGCCCCTGCACTGATCTTTTTGAAACTTGGCAGGTTTCATGCTCTCAGCAGAGGCTACCATCTCTGCAAGTTTCATCCAAATTGGGCAAAAAACAACAAAGTTATAGATATTTCATTGATTTCCCATTATATCCTATGACCGGATCTCCGAGATGACTCTGAAGCTTCGGCCGGATCGAGGCGGAAACCCAGTCTGGAGCTCCGGATCAGATCACAGCCATCCAAAGCGGCTGGATCCGAAGCTGGATCAGATTGCTGCCGACTCGCACAGGCTTAGAACCATTGTTTTTTAATGAGAAAATTGGTTGCGAGTTACAATGTTTCAATTTAAGATGCAGTTTACAGGAAACGATTGTGTCATAAGTCCAAGGACTGCCTGTATTTATATTTTACAAGACTACCCTGCTGCAGAGTTTTGTGCGCCCTAACAGGGGCACATGTGTAGACATGAAGATGTTTACTGCACAGTTAATTAGACAACTGTGCAGTAAATGTCTTGTGCAGTCATACCCAGTCTATTGCTGTACTGTTTATGATGGTGCCTGCTCCACATGTCTGACCTCTATTGCAATCCTGGGTCTCAGTACTGAGCCCTTCCTCCCCATGCCCTGGTGCCCTGTACTGTGACTTGGTGGCTCTCACCGTGGCATCCTGCCCTGTATAGTGTCTGATGACCTTGGAACCCCCTGGATGATGATGGTAGAACTTGTCGATGTCGTACACCTTCCTGTCAATCACCAGCCACCGCTCCTGTTGTGGGTGCCCCTGGCTGGAGAAGAACTTGATCTCCTCCCAGGTGAACAGTCGTGAGGTGGATTTCACTCCAGCCTGCAGCTCTTCCATTGCTACTTCAATGGATCACAGTCTTCAGTATCACTCACTCCAATTTTCTCCTTGTTGATTTTGTACACCTGATATTATAAATAGGTGGTGCTACATTACACATCATGCATGTGAATCATGATTACACCTGTGTCATGCTTATGTCAAAAGCCCATTGGGCCACTATGATTCTCTTCGCTCTACGCCTCCTGGCACTCTGTCTCCCTGCTAACTGCTAATTGATGATTATTCCCGCCAGATAAACAGAGGAATAGAGACAAGGGTGCACATTGTACTCCCTGCATACCATTCTTAATTTCCCAATATCATGATGTTCCACAATGAAATTAAAACTAGATAGCAACATGTACTAAAGATCAAAATTCTTTTCTTTACTGAAGATTTAACTTGGCATAAAACACGAGTGAACTTCACTACATACTCTGGTTCTAAATACTGACACACTTAGATAATGAGCCTGCTTTACTGTTCTAAGGCCTAGAACATACTCGGAGGTGATTTTTCTGTTTTCCATTAACTTAAGGTGTCTGTTATGAAAACCCAAAGCTATATCCAGTAACAATAATCAATGGGTGAGGATCAGAAAGTCACATCCCACAACCTGGAGAAAGAGAGTCCAGAGAAGAGCCACGCACATGATCAGAGGTCAGGAAAACAGACCTTATGACGAGAGGCTGAGAGCTCTGGGACTCTTCAGCCTGGAAAAGCGCAGGCTCAGGGGCAATCTAATGACCACCTGTAAGTTTATAAAGGGTGTTCACCAGGATCTGGGGGAACGTTTGTTCACCAGAGTGTCCCAAGGGATGACAAGGTCGAATGGGTATAAACTCCTGCAAGACCACTTCAGGCTGGACATAAGGAAGAACTTCTTTACTGTCCGAGCCCCCAAGGTCTGGAATAGCCTGCCATCAGAGGTGGTTCAAGCACCTACTTTGAACTCCTTCAAGATAAATTTGGATGTTTATCTTGCTGGGATCCTATGACCCCTGCTGAATTCCTGTCCCTTGGGCAGGGGGCTGGATTCGATGATCTTCCGAGGTCCCTTCCAGCCCTAATGTCTATGAAATCTATGAAAACCTCCATCTATCCAATCCTTCATTCAGTCTTGCCATTGACCTTTTGTCTGCCTCATGACTAGAACCTGGGTATCTTGATATAGCTCTGTTCATCATCTCTGGTCCCTGCAGGTCTAGTTTAAGTTGTCAGTGCATTTGGTAGCAGTATTTATATGCCTAAGTCCTCTGTGTTACCATCACTAGGGTGTGACCATCTTCCTCTTGTCTCTAACTGTTCTGAGCACTGGGTAGTAGTGGAAATAAACATGCCAATAAAAAGGAGTATTATGAGAATTTATGGGTTTCTGGCTTGAATTTCAAATCCACAATAAGGAAGGGAACTTGGCATGTGTCAGACTGTCATGCCTCCAAAAAAATCTCAGCAGTTTCAGAGTTGCATCCCTATTTCTACCAACATTTCCCACTATGCAGTTTGAGAAGTTTTAATGTTATTACTGTTCCATGTCCTTGTAGTTAAAAAAGGAGAAAAGGATGCCCTCAGAGAGAGACTGGTTATTAAACACTTATTATCACTGAAAGTTACCTGCAGTAGCCCAGAAAGCTTTCATGAGTTGGTCAAAACATAATCTATCTTTAAAGGTATGAAAATACATTGCCAAATGATGCAGATAAGCTTAATTGAATGAAATAGATGTTGTCCCTTCTTCTGCAGTCAGGCCCCAGTCATTCCTGAGAGTGGCCAGGGCCGGATCCTGTGGAACAACACTGGGAGGGCCCTCTTCAAATGGGGGGATCCCAGGTTTCCCTGCTAGCATAGGATGCCTGGGAATCCCTGCATACTCCTCTGTTAGTAGGGAAACCCATGGTTTTCCCATTTGCAGAGGTGCACCCCAAGTCTGAATACACATCTAAAACTCCTGGGAATTCAGGTACCCTATCCTGCTCTCCCACCTTAAACCCCCCCACCAATGTACAGTGTAAAAGAATGGCATGTATTCATACCATCTATGTCATGACCATAAAGTTTGATCATCTGTGGTGCAAAAAACAGCATGGACATCTGTTTGTTTTTGGTTTTTTTTGCCTTGTGCCATTGTGAGTTTATACACTAAGAGGTGCTTATGCAGATATTAGGCATCTAAATCAGTCAGTGGACTAGGGTGGCTAAACTCCTCATGAGTCACTATTTCATATCTCTGTGACAGCTCCACTTAGACATCCAAGTCCTTAATGTTTTTAACCAATGCAAAATACATTTGGAGTATTGGATCAGGTGCCAGAACCCAGGTTCCTTTCCAGGTCAGTACCCTTCCATTGGAGCTAAGAGCTGCATTTCCTTTCACTTGCTCTCCTTCTGTCCGTATGACTCTTTCCTGCTAGGGTGTCCAGTGGCTAAGCTCCAAAAGGAGAGATAGATGGTGCTCATGGCATTGCATGACCATGGCCTGCACACTGGGGAAACTGGAAGGAAAGGCAGAGATGTAGGCTCAAGCTGCTGTGTCTTTCTTCCTCAAAGTAGCCTGAATCTGGCAAAAATGTATAAGCTCCCACACTGAAAGAAAAATATCTATAACTTTGTTGTCTTTTGGCTGATCCAGATGACGCTTTCAGGAATGGTAGCATCTGCTGAGAGCATGATACATGCCAAGTTTCAAGGTGAAAGGTGCAGGAGTTTCTGGGAAACTGTACCCCAGATTTCTGAAAGCAAACTCATGTCACGTGTGTGTGTTAAGCCATGGTGGGGTGAAAACTGCAGGGATGGTAGCTCTTACTGAGGCCACAAATCCTGCCAAGTTTCAAGGAGATAGGAGCAGGGGTTTGGGGGAAACTGCACCCCAAATTCTTGAAAGCAAAACTCATTTCACGTGTGGTGGGAGGTAGGAGGGCAGAGGTGGGGAGGGGAGGGGAGGAACTACTGCACGTCTGGCTGCTAAGTTACTGTGTTACCAGTTACCAGTTACCAAGCAATCATGATTCACTCAGGGACCACCTCAATATACAGTAGCTAGCTAGTAACTACTAAATAACGAGTTAAAAAGCAAGGATTAACATCTACAAAACCACAGACTAAGGAGAGGAAAGAATCAATACAGACAATCAACTGCCCCAAGACAGAGACAGTCAGTTGCACAAGCACCCATGTCACGAGTTTTGCCTGTCAGTACGTAGGGGTGCAGGACCCCAGAGCCCCCCTGCACTGATCTCCTTAACAGCTGGCAGGCTTTGTGGTTGCAGCAGGGCTTAGCAGCCAGGCCTGCAGTAGTTCCCCTCCGCCCCCACCCAAGACAGACACAGTTACACAAGCACTGCTGTCATGAGTTTTGCCTGTCAGCAGCTAGAGGTGCAGGGCCCCAGAACCCAGAAGCCCTGCACTGATCTCATTCACAGCTGGCAGACTTTGTGTCCTCAGCAGGGTCTAGCAGGCCTGTGGCCTGCAGCTTTCACCCTGCTGTGCCTTAATATACATAGTGTCACCCATGTCATGAGTTTTGCTTGTCCGCAGCTTGAGGTCCAGCTTTCCCCAAACCCCTACACCTATCTCCTTGAAACTTGGCAGCCTTTGTGGCCTCTTCAGGGGCCACCACCCCTGCAGCTTTCACCCCGCTGCACCTTAACACACACAGGGTCACCTGTGTCATGAGTTTTGCCTGTCATCAGCTTGAGGTGCAGTTTCTCCCAAACCCCTGTACCTATCTCTTTGAAATTTGGCAGGCTTTGTGGCCTCAGCAGGTGCCACCACCCCTGTGGTTTTCACCCCACTGTGACTTAACACGTATACATGACATGAGTTTTCTTTCAAGAATGTGGGGTGCAGTTTCCCCCAAACCCCTGCACCTATCTCCTTGAAATGTGGCAGGCTTCATGCACACAGCAGAGGCTACCACCTCTGCAGGTTTCATTCAAATCAGACAAAAAACAACAAAGTTATGGATATTTCATTGATTCCCCATTATACCTTATGGCCAGATCTCCAAGGCAGCTCCGAAGCTTTGGAGCGGCTTTGGCCAGATCAAAGCAGAAACCCGGTCCGGAGTTCTGGATTGGATCCCTGGCATCTGAAGCAGCCAGATCTGAAGCTGGATCGAATAGCTGTCTAGTTGCACAGGCCTAATATTTAGGCAATAGTGTAGTGTCAGATGTACCAGGAAGAAGGTATTTTTTTAGGCATTGGACCCACAGCCTCTTTGCTGCATTTCATTGTTATTTTCTAGGCTGGTGGTTGGCAACCTTTTCAGGATATGGGCCAGAATGACCTAGCTTGGTTCAGAGGCTGGGGGGGGGGGGGGGGGGCGGGGTGGCTGCCAACATCACCACTACTGGTACCATCACTTCTCCCTGCAATGGTACAGGGGGAAGCACCTGCTGTCAAAGTCCAAAGTCTGCAAGCTGAATCCAGGTCACAGGATGAATTGTTCTACAGAGAACATTGCAGGCATTTACATTTGAGTTAGGAAATGCATCTTTTTTCCCAGTACAAGAAGTGAGATTGCAAAAGAATGGGGTGGGGAATACACAGTGATTTTTACCGGAAATTGTTAGCTCTTTTTAATGGCAATTCCTCTGGTGGGAAACATTTTTCTAGTGACACAGGCAATGCGTGTACAATTACATTTGCTGGGATAGTGGTCCCTAGGATCTTCTACCCCATATAGTCCCCTGCTCTCTGTCCCTTATCCAAGGGGAAAGGGAAAACACTGGCATCCTGATAGCCCGGCCAGCAGCAAGCTGTTGGGAACCCCTGCTGCCACACTGCTCCTCTCCCCACAGTCAGTCCCATGGACACTCCAAGGCTGTGGGAATTCCCTCAGTCAAATCCTAACCTCCTGCCTCATTCTTACTTACCCACTATGTCATTCAGTGTAGTGGGAAGACATGGGGTGGGGTGAGGCAATCCCCACTGCCATTACAAGAGCCATGGCAGGAACTGAGTCTCTGTGAGGAGAACAATTTTCCTCCCCTTGCCAGCCCAGCAGGAGGGTGAGC